AATAAATAACAATAAGAATAATAAAATTTCTACTTTCCTTTTCAATAAATTCAAAGAATCTACCTGCAGCACAAGTTAAAACCACAGTAAACTGATTTTTTTCATTAACAGTTGCTTGAATATGCACAGTTTTTTCACCTTTTAGATTAATTGTGATATTGCCAGCCATATCGAACCAAACTGGGGTCTCATCCATATTAAAAATTTCATCTAATTTGAAAGAATTTTCAGTTCTAAGACGAATGACAAATTGTTGAAAATTTTCCAGTAATTCCTAAGTTTTAATTGGTAATTTTTGGGCTATATTTGTACGTCGTCTTAATGCTATTCCATATCGTTTCAAAAATGCAACTAGCCAACGGTGTGACATTTTAAAATCTTTTGATAGATTATCATAAAGAACTAACATTTTGGGTTCTTCCAATATCTTTAGCATTTTACTTCTAATTATTGCGTAAGTTACAGCAAAAGCTTGATTTCTTTGTTCTATTATCCAACTATACAGTTTTTTTTCAGCTTCAGGAAAAAAAGCTTTTCGATCAGCTCCAATTCGTCTGCTATTTTTATTTATCTTAGTTGACCAGTTTGTACTTATCTTCGTCTAACGTCCAACTATGCTAGCATTAAGTTTAAAATGAGCAGCTGCTTTATTTCTTCCAAATTTTTTTGCATATTCCACTACTTGTACTTTTTGAGAAAGAGAATATGAAGTTCATTTTCGTATTGCAACTTTTTTAACCTTTTTTTTTGTAGCTTATTTTTTCTTTTGTGTTGAGACAGTTTTTTATGTGGCATTTTTGTGTAATATAAAAAGTTACGCGAAAAGATAATGCTAATTCGCGTATTATATCACAAGATAATCAATTAAATAAAGTGTTACAGATCATGTAATAAGATGATCAATCGAAGGTATTACAAAATATAAAATATTTAATATTTTTACATAGCTTCTGGGATTGGAAATTTAGTAATTTTATTAGTACCTGAATTTAAGCACCTTTATAGCAAAAAAAGGGTGCTTAATTTCAAAGGTATACGGTAATATAATAGAACATAAGGCGAGGTGATAAAATTAAAATCTTTAATCGATCATACTTACACTAGTGACGTAATACATTATAATGATGTTAATTTTCTTCTATACCCTCCAAATATCAATCTACCTAAAACTGAATTCTTTAATCTTTTCTTAGGATTTAAGACCAAACTGGTATTTCAAATTAATTATGATCTTGTAAATCCAATTGTCTAGTATATAGAAAATATCTGATGTAATAGAGATAAAAATCTTTCTGAATATGTTCTGATATAGTTTGCATTTATAGTTCAGTATCCAAATATAATTCCTGAAACTATTCTTATTTTACGCTCTCCACTGCACTGTGGAAAAAACATTATCACTGATTTCATTCAAAAAAGCTTATTCAGCCCAGAACTTGTTTATTCAACTTCTGATCTTAGAAAAATTCTTGGAAAATTCAACAGCACTATTCAAGAACATAAGCTCATAATTATGAATGAAATGGGAATGGTCAGTGGGGAATGGCATAAGCAAATGACCATCTAAAGTCTCTTATAATGGAAAATTATGTTTCGATTGAGCGAAAAGGATTTGAATCTCAAGATTGTAATCATTTCGCCAGATTTATAGTTCTAAGTAATCACGATACTCTAATTAGAATAAAAATGGGGGATGGTCGTATTGTATGTTTAGATATCTCCCTCCACTGTAAAATAATTTCACATATTTTGATCAATTGGAAGGGATTCTTAAGCATTCCAATACATCAGGATTATTTATGACATATTTACTTAATCTTAATTTTTCAGGATAAAAGTCACATAAGATTCCTCCATCAAAATAAAAATGGACATAATGTGAGATCAACTTCTATCTCCCATTTGATTTATTATTGATCACATTATGTTATAGTCAGAGAAATGTATTGAAAGAATGATATGTGATAATTTATACCAAAAATATCTTAAATGGTGTAAGGCAAATGGAGAAAAGCCATTAACTAATAAAGTCATTGAGAGGAAATTTTCCTATATTAGGATTGATCGAAAGTGGGCACGAGTTGATGGGAAGATAAATTGGGTTTATTCTCTCAACCGCTCTAAGATTATAGCCAAACTCTGTGAACACAGCCTAGGAGATCTTGAAGAATTTTCCGATACGCCTATCAAAGATACACTTCAAATGGGTCTACCCACTAATGAATCCACAGACATACCTATATTCAATGTATCAGAAATTTTTCCCTGAAAAATAGAAAAAACTGAAGCTCTAGTCACCTCAACATCTGGGACATCTAAAACTACTAAGGCTTCTGAACTATCTGAACCAGTAATCGATAAACCTGAAATCAGCAAACCTCTTAAGCCTATCAAGCGTATCAGTAATGTGTTGAAAGGATCCAAACCCAGTAATAATGAAATATTATCTACAAGAACCTGGTGAGAAGAGTGTCTCAGAAAATGGGCAATTGATCATTATGAAGACCCTGATAAGTTTATGATGATTACAGAAAAAGATGTCAACTTATCTCAGGAGTATTGAGACATGATAATGGTGGATGCAGAAGTCATCAAATTTGCTAGAGAAAATAATATGAATCCAAATGATTTATTTTACATGACTAGAAGGGAAAGATTAATAAGCGAAAAAATATATCTTTGGGAGTTTGAGGATGTGGAAAAACTCCGAGAGTGTATTTACAATAATGAGGAATAGCAAAAAAATATAAGCATACTCTAGGAGAATAGTATGCTTTGGTAAAGAATGAATAAGAGTGAGTTAATTAATATTAGTAGAGATGAGACTTTCGTTCTTTACAACTAGGCGATATAAAATTCCAAATTATTATTATGTATTTTTTGTATATCCTATCTACCCGCAAATTTCAAATCGATGTAAATCTCCCTGGCTAAAGCGAGAGTTATATATTTTTTCTTTCTCTAACCCTTCAATAGTTTTTACCTCACTGACTATAGGTAGTGAAATTACGGAATAAATTTTTCGAATTGAACTTTTTCAGATATAGAATAACCTAAGAGTTGCACATAATCTAGTAGTTACTTTACAGGCTATATCTACACAATTATGTTCGCAATTGTAACAAAGTACGTTGCAGAGCATAAACTCAGTAAAGACATGAATGATGAAGAAATTTGTCAGCACGCTTCAGAATTGCTTGAGCTTTTGACAGATAAACTAAAAAGAGACAAGAGTCGTCAGCGTTTCAAAAAGGGTATAATTTTAGCAGAGAGCAGGCATTTGTACTAATTCCTGATCAGAGAATTTGCCGAAGTAGAAGTTAGATAATCCTCAAAAAAGAAGGGATGAAGCAGGAAAGTTAATATATGTCAAATATCCAACATCATCCCAGATGGAGAAATCATCGAAAATATAACCCAGCGTATTGTTCAAGATAATCTTGGTAAAAAAGAAGTAAAGGCTATAGCCAAGACTTTAACTATAATGTCTCCTAACCCTATTGCCACCACATCCCGTCTTAGTAAGCTTTGAAGAGAGTTGCGGAAACTTAATGTCCAGAAAAAATAATATTAGATGACAAAATAACCTACGCATTTAACAAGATTCAAAAGGAGTATAGAGATCAATATGAAAATGAAGGGATTGATTTTTCAGATTACTTTTCATTAGAATCGATTAAGGAGAGACTCAATTTGTATGATGTATCCAATGTATCTAATATACAAGCTTTAGCAGATGTAATGATAATGCTCTGCATCTGTCTTGCTGAAATTAAAGACTTGCGTATATCTAATAGAGGTGTAACTAAATACGCAAAAAACTGAAATCAGTAAGATAATTCTTGGGTATTTAGATCATTAGAAAGGGATGAAGAGTGGGCTAAACTTTTCCTTACTTGGATTCAAAATGCAATTTCTTCTGACAGTTGAGGGATCCAGGAATGCCAGGAGTTAAATGGTTTAATATATTTCTAAAAAAAGATAGATTTCTTCCTGAAACTGGTAAACCACTTCTCCCTAGCTATTTGCGCAAATTAGGGGCAGTATTTGCGATCGTATCGAATAGTGCGAAGAATTTATCACATGCTATGACTATTGCTGGGCAAGCATTAAGATACAGTCCTGATAATAATACTTCACCGGCATAGAATTATACTATAGTAAATTATCAAATGAAAGGAGAACATTATGATCAAGCAAGATTATTCAAGCTCTTCGATGAAAGCTAAAAAATACTAGTAGAAGGCATTCGTATGTTATTTTAATTTTTTTAATAAAAATTTCACTGGTTTATTAGTAGATATTTATAGTAATTAAATATTTCAACTCTTATTGTGTATTGCTGAATCAATATATTCCTAGCGATATCCCCCAGTATGAGAACGAATAGATTTACATACTGTACCAATATTTTGGCTTTTAATTTCTGTTACATGTTCTGCCTCTTTTAATGATAAAAATTCTTGTGTAGAACCATCAGGAAAAATCTGTTTAACAGTATGTTTATATCCATTTCATAATTTATGAGATATTGCGTGTTGCATATTTTCTTTTTGTGTACACCATTTAAGATTTGAAACTTTATTATTAGTAGGATTCCTGTCAATATGATTTACATAATCTTTTCCTTGTTCTTTTAGGTAAAAAGCTAATGCTACTAAATGATGAACCTGATACTTTAGATGCCCTATGCCAACTTGAAAATACCTTTCACTTAATGAGCCTTGTGTAATCATCCTATTTAATAATTGAACTCTACCTAAAAATGATACTTTGAATTTTACTGGATCAATTTTTAATTTCTCTCATTCTTCATTAGGATTAGATTCTATATAATCATCATAATATATCCAAGTCCATTCACTTATAATATTTTGTTTTTCCCTACAACATGCAGTAATATTTCTTCTATTAATATTAAGTGTAATACCTGCATAATTGGCTGAATCCCAAATCTGAATAATGTTCTCATCTAATGTTTTTTGCACAACTTTTCAAGAACTACCACGACTAGGATTTGCAAATACTTTATGATTAGCATTTTCTTTTTGAAACACCCATTCCAAATTATCTATCTACTCAATTATCAGTTTTGATACCATTAATATGGTTAACAAAAGGTTTATTTTCTGGGTTAGGAATAAATACTTCTGCAACTAGTCTGTGAATATTAACAGATCTATAATTATTATTTTTACTAATCTTTGTTACTGCATAACCATGTCCTTTATGAATGCTTCCTTCTGAAATTTTACCATTTTTATTTTTGATACGTCTGATATTAGATATAAGGTAATCTGTTCCTACTATAAGTAGCCAAAGTTCCATTTTAAAATATATTGTTTTATTTTTAAATTCAGATTAAAGCCTTATATAATTTTTCAGATAACCATTCCTTTCCAGCGCAAAACTATACTATAGTTAATTTTTGAAAAAGAGGACAGCCTTATAATCAGGCAATGGTATTCGAGCTCTTCGACAAAAACTAATCACATATATAGGTTAGACACCATTTATTAATTTTATTTTTTTGCCTCCTTGATCTGTCGATCTATAGAAGATAATCTATTCTTTTAACCAGAGCAACTTACCCTAATATCTTATCTGATAGAGTTTCTTTTTTTCGAATAAATATGAGAAAAAAATAGATATGTCATATATGAAATATTGCAAAAATGGCCAGAATGGAATTAACCAATCAAAAGCATTCATTTGATAGTATAGCTAGTGAGCAGGAAGTTATCAAATATACAAAGATATTAGCCTAGACATTTGGACTAAACGAGCAAAATGCAGAAGTATATAATACACTCTTTAGTGAAAATAGGCACTAAAGAAACAATTGGAAGATTATCATTCCCAACATAACGCTTTAGAAAAGAGGGTAAAAAGATTAGAGAGAGATGTAAAGTCCTTAGAGATCGAATTAGAAGATCTGAATGAATGTGTAGATAGGAAAACTGTATTTAACTTAATACATGAAATAGTTCTATCGCTGATTGGTAAGAAAGATAAGGATTTCTCCTGTTCGTCTAAGTTTTCTGAAGAAACTGATTCGGTCAAGACAATTGTGATAAGAAAAAATGAGGCTATCCCTCATAAGTAATGAAGAAAGGCACGGCTGAGAGGAAGGTCTAAGACAGTAATCATCAGTTCAGAAGAATTTGCTGAGTTACAGATTGTACAACAATAAATTTATCAAAAATTAATGTGTATCATGGGCTAGTTCCCAAACATTTGTATTTATTTTTTATATGTAATAATAAAAATTTCTTGGTAAAACTGTGAACAATATTCACAATCAGCTAAAATGGCTTACATATTTTTCTTATTTTGAATATATTCATATTTTATAAAAAATAATAGCAAATACTCACACTATTGATTCATTAAGAGAATTAAATGCTAAACTTTTAGCTAAGGTTGCAGAGCTTAGGAAGGAGAATGCTGAGATTCCCGAACTTAGAGAGAAGTTACTAAAGTTTGCTGAGGTTGAGGTTGAGAAAGTGAAGTTGAGACAGGAGCTCGAGGTTAAAAACGATGAGTTGTATAAAACTATAGCAGATTTTTCATTCAAGATTGGTAAACTTAACGCTGAAATTATGAAGCTAAAGAAAGATAAGATGGCTATCACTAAACTTGAGTCTGAACATGCTGAGTTTAGAGACAGAGTCATGAAAGTGCAACAAAAGCAGATGTATGATGATAACTCTTCTAACATCAATTCATCTAACTTCAATTCAGTTACAGATCAGGTTAGTAAAGCTAACTCGCATCATGAAAAACCATTAGTGGATAAGGAAGTAAACACTTTATTATCTGAAGAAATAATACCAAAGATGGTTGCAAAGCAATCAATATTAGCTATTAATATTCCCGTTATGAAGCAATGTGATCAGACATCCTCGGAAGATAAGAAAACAGATACTTTCTTGAATGAGATGCATAAGAAAAGGTTAGTGATAAGATTAGACAGCGCAATAGGGAGAAGAAACTTCTGCATGAATCAGTTAATCAGAAGGCATCTTCAATTTCTCAGGATATTTCTTCTGTGAAGAGTCATGATGATCGGAACAGTTTAGAAAATTCAGAAAAAAATGGAAACTCCATCACGAATCGTGATGATCAGCAAAAAAATATTTCAGTTATTACTACGTCTTAGGAAAATAATGATGATGACATTGAGTTCACTAAAAGTCAGGTTATAGAGCAAGAATTAACAAAGAAATTGCTCAGCGGTATTATTTTTGCTCCATCAATCTCTTTTGAGGCTATGAAATAGATACCTTCAGTATTATATCCATCATCATCTCTAGATACGATGTAAAACTTAGTCCATTTATTCCAGAATGCAATATGAGCTGAACACGAGGTGATCTTATCTTAGTTCTATTATTCAAGTAGTTTTAAAAATAAAGTTGATGCGATTCGTCATGACATTGTGGCCTCAGATAAAATAGCTAGATCACAAATATATAAAGAAATGCTAGAGCATCTACCTGATATCACATTGAAAAACTTGCGTATGAGAACCTTACGAGCTAAAAAAATCCGTATGTTATTTGGGAAGGCGGAGTGAAAATAAATAAAATTAAGCAAGTTACTTTAGTGTTTATGACATTTCAAGCCTTACTATTAATCAAATTCAAAGTGTTATCAAGAATGTGATTTTGGCAGGAAAAACACCAGTGGTATCAAATCGTAATCATGTGATTTCTGTCACAAATCGTGATGATCTGATTAATGTTCCTTTGATTTCAGCTGAAGTAACCACATCTCATCCACAAATCCCTATGACTGATCCAACTTATAACTAATCCTATTTCTACAACAAGACATTGGATCAATATCCCAGTTTATATAGAGAATTTAGTAGTGAAAATTTTGATTATTATGGAATTACCAACGAGAAATTATGTCCATTATGCAAATTAGATCATAATGATGAAGAAAGTATAGAAGGTAGGTATAAATCTGAAACTTATTTTATTAAATGTGAATAGCGTGAAATTGAGATAACTGCATAGTCTTATTACCTCTTTCTTATATTTATTTTTTTTGAAAATATAATAAGAAATATTAGACAACTTTCTATCCAAGAATTTAAATAGATCTGTAATTATAGAAAAAGGTAATATAACTAAGTCTGATAAAATATTAACTTCCGAATACCTGGATTGGCATGCCAAGTTAACTGAGTTACCAAGTGTTTTGACAGATAGGATTCAGTCCAGCTTATACAAAAAATATAAAAAAGAAACTGGATATGAGCCATGGCAATTATCAGAAGCTGTGATAAGTATATCAGAAAAACCTCAAGCCTCTGATTTCAAGTCCATCACTTTTAAAGCAAAACCTGATCCAGAGCTAATTATCAAATTCGTGTTAGAGCATTTCCTATACTTGAAATTCTGAAATAGTTTTAGATGGATTGATAATTATAATTTTGCATTACCTCAGCTGTGGAGCTCACAATGTCCTATTTGTAATGAAAACTTGGGAATTATAGATTACATAGTGAATGGTATAGGATTGAAATGGAATATTATCTTAGCTGTAACTTTTCAAGCAATAAATTCAAGTTCGCAATCGTAGCTACATAATGGCATTGTTGCACTAGATATTATTTTGCAGTGTAAACAAAAATATGTTTTTTTTTTATTTACAATCAATAAAGCTAAGGCATATTAAACACAATATATTTATATGTCATATCTAGTGTGAGATTGTGTTTATACGCTAATATTTCTCAGTTTTTCATCTAAGGATCCAGATCCTATAAATGCGTAGTATTATTAGAACATTGCACTATGTAATTTATTCTCAAAACTTCCTGCATATACTCAAGCTTTTGCATGTATTAATAATAAAAAGTCCCCCTTATTGATCTAAAGACACAATCCCTGTGTCTATTATAATTTTAAGGAGCATCTGTTGATCTGATTTTCGTGATGAATCATAATAACGTGATTTCCCTAAAGATTTATTTTGAAAATCGAACCTTAAATCCATTACAAGTTATATTGTTAACGTGCAATTTTGGTAGATCGCTACAGTTAAACGAGGTGTTTGAGTGTTGTTTCTTTTTAATGTACGCAGTAATCTACTGGTTTATTTCCTAAGTCCTAGACTTATAACCGGTATCACT